TGACAGGAATTAGATGCTTATTAATCTTTTTGCTAGTTTTATTATACTTTAAGATTTGTATTTCTTGTGATCCAATAAACATCAGCATATTTAAATTTGTTCTTAAAAATATACAATATTGCACTTTAATTTTTGGCAGTTTAATTAAGGAGTGGCTGAGTAAAAAAAAATCATACAAGAAACTAGTTTTTGTTTTGCTTTATAATAAGCAAAGAACTTTGTGTAAAAGCAGAACTTACAGTAGTGCCAAATAAACCACATATTTACAGTGTTGCTATTACAGTCTTACCTCTAAAGGAAGATTCAGTGTATTGGATGCAAACATTATTAATCTAACAAAAGTACACCCCCCTCCCCCCATTTTGCTGAACATTTTTAAGCCAAAGGGTATGTGAAATGCTTTTGTGATTCCTTTCTCAAGAGAAAATACATGGAAAGAATGCTTGTTCCTGAAGCATAATAAGTTGGTCCCTAAACTTTCATGATGTTTCCTACATGACTTGAAAAATTTCTTCTCTAAGAAGCTGAATTCCAAGGCAAGCATTCTTTTTTAGTTTTTCTGTATTCTCTTTTATAATGATAAATACACAGTTTGTTTTTAGTATGATTTTAAGGTCAGTTTCCTGTGCTTTTTCTAAGACAAAAAAGATACTGACATTGCATCTGCCTGAATCATTTTTAACTTTTGTTACACTGTAGTGAAATATATATACTGACCAAGAATTTGCTATTCTATTTTTTATATTCCCAATTAGGTAAATACTCTAGAAGGCTCACTATTTTTCACTAATAACCAATTAGAAAGACAGTTTGAACAGCTTTTTGCAAAAGCAAATACCGAGATTTAGGCCTACTTAACAACATAAAAACCAGAAAGAACATAAATAGAACGTATTTGTAATATAAATACATGACACAGAGACATTCATTTTTGGCACCACCTAAAAAAAAATCCAGTAGTATTTTATTACCCTTCAGATCTTTGGGAATATTTTAAACTTTCTAACTATTAAGCCTTTACTTTTCTTCCAGAGAAAAATAATTCACAAATTTGAATTGGTATTTCAAAAGCAATGGGTCTCCTTTTGTTATTTCTTAATTTGATCTGCAGAATGAACACTTATTCAAAGTGTTAACTCACAGCCCATGTGTTAACTATACTTTTACATTTTAATCCTACCAAGAACTGATTATGTCAAAGAATGACTTATCATGGAAAGATGTGGTTTCTTCTTAAACAACCACATACCAATTGCATAGTTCTGATCTGAGAACAAAGGTCAAAGTAGAGAGTTACAAAGGCATTAATGTCATGTTAACCAAACTGAAACAGGCTGTTGAAAAATAGTCTGTCTTGGGTAGATGTTAGTGTAAACTGAGGGGGGAAAACAGTCATTAGCAAAATGTTTTCTTTAAAAATAGGTTAATGCTGAGAACAATAGCTTTTAAAACTCTTTAAAAATAAGCTTAATAAACAATAGAAATTTTAATTCAAAACTTAGCTCTTTGAAATGCCCTATTTTCTTGCATACAGCAGAAAATACATTTTTCATAGTTTTTAACATTACATGTAAAAATGAGGCACTAGTTAAACATATTTGAATATATTCACACAAAGAGGAGTTTCAGTCTCATCTGTAGGCTTATATTTGCTCAATGGTTTCTGGATGGCAAACTGTTCACAAAAATAAATCTTCTGAAGGAGGTGCGTAAGAGAAACCAACGAATGCATCATCTGCCTCCAGCACACTGGCGTTCACTATAGAATAGTCAGAAGACACACACACAGAATACGGAACTGTTTCTTCCGTAAATGCTGCATCAAAGTTCCTGATATCATCTGGTCCTGCCTAAAACATCAAAAGCATATTATTATTCACCTTAGCTTGTTTTTCACTAATTTAGTCTTTCATTAAAACCACTTCATGAATTTATATATTTATTCCTGGCAAGTTTAGATGTCTTCCTACTTCACCATTTCTTTGAAACAGTTTCTGCTTTTCCTTTCCAGAGTTTACTATTTAGGTGAGGTTATCTGTCCTTCTAGCAAAGTTCTTGTTGGAAGTGGGGGGAGACAAGGGTGAGGTAAGCTAGCATAACAGAGTCCTTACCTATGGTAACTTGAACCTCAGGCCCTGCAACTGACCCCCTCTCTCTCTACCCAGCACCACCTCTAAGTTTAGAAAAGGAGTCCAGGTAGGTTTTCAGGATGGCACTTTTCACTTGAGCTCCCATCAAATGCTTGCCCATCTAGTTTCTGTACTCTGGTTAGGTGAAGCCTTTTGAGGAGAATAAAGGGGCATTAAATAAAACTGTGCTACAGAGGTCATTAGGCATTTGGCTAGGACACCTTAGCTGTAGAGGCCTAAAGAAGCTGGGAACCCGGGAAGTAAAGCATGGCAGCTTCTTGATGGAAGCGGTTCTTCGTCTTCCTTTACAAATCTGGTACAAACTACCGCACTTTCCCCTTCTGACGTATTTGCAGATAAAAACTGAGACACAAATCCCAGTGACTCACTCTTAGAACTCATCCCTGAATCTCTAGGTTATCTCTGCTCTAAGCGGGAGGGAATCCTTAGCATGTCTAGGTCGGCAAGTCTAACTGAGGTGAACAGACAAGGATCCAAGGCAGGTACTCTAAGCCAAGGATACAGTTAGCCTGGTAGGTCTATAAACAGCAGAGCACAGACAAGGGAAACCCAGAATGCTAGATCCCTCAATATGAGAAATTCCTCCACAGAGGAAGAAGAATGCTACAAGTTGTATTTATGTGTATATATAAAATGTCATCAAATTCTTACATGGAACCCCAGAAGCATGGGCTTTGGAATAAGACTAAGCTTTGAATTCTGGCTATGAAATTTGCTGGCTCTAATTTTTTTTTTTTGCTAGCTTTAATTTTTTATATAAATTATCCTATCTCTGTTTCCACTCCTGTAAGTAAGAGTACTACCACCTACCTGTTAAGGTGTTGTGAGGATCTGATGTGTTAATACACAAAATTCCCAGAATCTGACATGTAGAAGGTGTTCAGTGAATGATGGCAAATGTTCTTTTACTTGACTTTATAGATATTTTAGGAATGCTCTTAGGGCTCACGGCTAGTACTGACAGGGATAACACTGTATTGCTTATGTTAAGAGTGAGGGAAGGATCTGTCTTCGAAGAGCCCGAGCTCAAATTCTAGTTCTTTAAACTCTGGGAAACTTATTTAACCTTTTCTGTGCCTAAGTTAACTCATCTGTAATATATGGAAAATAGCAGTACTATTTCATAGAATTGCTGTCAGAGTTAAATAAAAGGATGCAAGTACTGAGAACAGAGTAGGAGAACGTCTACATTAACATCCTCTAACTTTCTGATCTTTATTAATCCGTTAAGTGGAAAATGGTAACCTATTAGAGTTTGTCAGTGAATTTGAACATCTTTCCATATATTTAAAAGCCATCTGTATTTATTTTTCTGTAACTGCGTATTTTGTGTCTTTTGTCCATGTTTTTACTGGTCATTGGTTTTTTTTCTCATTGACTTGTAAGAATGCTTTATGTGCTAAAGAAATCTTCCCCAGTTTGTTATTTGCAGTGTTGTTGTTTTTTTTTCTTTCTTACCATGTAGACATTTCTAAATTTAATGTGGCCAAATTTACCAATTTCTTCTGTGGCTTCTTGGTTGTGGATCTTGCTTTAAAAAATTTTATTAGTCAAAAAGAGTGGGGATCCAAATGGAGGTACTGACTCTGAAGTCAACATTGTTTCCATTTCCAGTACTGCTTAAGAGTACCTAACTCTTTAATGTGCCTGATGACATATTTATTTGAGCTAAACTAAACTCAGTAAGACTTTCAATATAAAAATAAAAATAAAATAATTTTTAAAGGTCCTAGGTTCTTAGTGCAAACTCTAGAAATTAGGGACAGAAACTGTCCTTAATGGAGTCACTTCTGGATAAGCTATATGAAATAAGGCAATCTACAAATATTGTTAATAGGTGTACAGTGTCACACCTATTAAATATTACTAGTCATAAGCTATGCACTGAAACAAACCTTTAACAAAATGAGTAGACTAAGTAATATTTTCCTGAAGCAATTTCCTTATTCTGCACTAATTTACTAAAAAAGTATGTCATGAATTTCACAACACCAAAACACTTTAAATAAAGGAAAAAAAAATTTACCTATGATCCCGCAACCCCAAATCAATCTTGGTTTATATTATACTCTCTCCTAGTCCTTACCTGTTATTTTTACTGCTATAATAACACGTCACAAAAATTGCCATGTTTATTTTATAGTATAAGGACTGTCATGTTTTTGTTTAACATTATAAGGATTTTCTAAGTGCCTGCTCATTTTTACATTTATTATTATTACCATTCACTTAACGAGAAAAGGCAATCGAGCATAAGAAAGCATAGATAGAATAGTGATTTTGAAATGCACAGATTTGAATCCTTGCTCTGCTACTTTTTAATCCAGCTATGTGGCATCTCTGACTTTCCATTTCTTCATTTATAAAATATGTATAATAAGAAGGACAACAACGGTAGTAACTTGGTAGCATAAGGAATAAATTACATATTTTAATGCATAAAAGTATATGCCTAAAGATATAGCCATCAATAGTAACATCATTATTGGCCTACTGATGATTATTAAAAATTTCCCTACTGTTCTGTATTTATTTCCCCAAATTTTCAACATCGTAACATTGTAAACAGATCTTTGATGAAACCTTCCTTTAAAAAAAAAAAATCTTTAGGTAAAATGTTTCCATCAGTTGATTTAACAAGTCAAGCTAACATGAACATTTTATTTTCCAAAAAGGTATCTAACAATTCACAGTACCATTAATGTTTGCCTGTGCTTGGTTTTGTATCATTCTAGAAAAAAATGTGCATTAATGTTACTTAAAATGTTTGTTGATTTATAGGCATGAGACACCTCACTTACTTAATTTGCATCTTTTTTTAATCTAATGAGCTCATCCCTTTTTATACATGTTCCAAAGAAACACTTCATAATTACTATGCTAAAAGATACTTTTACCAATGTAATATAATTTTACTGGTCATCTTGAAGTTATCAGTGCACTAGATAAACCCCGAGAGACATATTTTCAAATAATGGTACTGATGATTCAGTTTCATTCACATTAGACTTTGAGATCTATTGCTAAAATTATGATGAGCTACAGTTCTACATTTCACTAGTTCAGAAAATAAGATGTGGATAGACACTTACCACATTAGGATTGAATGGTGGTGGAATCCTCTTTTGCACAAGATCAGTCCAGCTGAGTGATTCAAAAAAAGGATGATTCTGAATTTCAAGCTAGAATGTTAAAGAAATACATAATTTTTTTTACTAATGTTGAAAAATACAATTAAGTACTCACTGAATAATTATATGAAGCCAAACCATTACCACTTTGTCCCTCAATAATTCTTTTTAGGTACATGCTAATGGTATTCATGCGGCAAGATAGTGTAGCGGAGAGACTACCACCAGAGCAGACAGGACAGTTATTCAGAATGACCAACCTAAGTTATATCCTCTTCACAGTCATAGTTTCTTTGTAGGTAAAATGGAGTTAACATTTGTCTTAGACACTTCACATGCAATTTTAAGGACTAGTGAAAAATATGGAAATAAAAGAGATATGAAAAGAATAAGGCACAAGGTGCCTGGGTGGCAGTCAGTTAAGCATCCAACTCCTGGTTTCGGCTCAGGTTGTGATCTCAGGGTCGTGGAATCAAGCCCCACACTGGGCTCTGCGCTCAGCACAGAGTCTGCTTAAGGCTCTCTCTCCCTCTCCCTGTGTCCCTCCCCTCCGTGCTCTCTCTCTCAAATAAATAAATAAACCTTAAAAAAAAAAAAAAAGAAGGCACTACATAGGCACAAAGGATTGTAATTATTATCTGAATGGGAGAGGTAAAAAAGAAGTTAGGTAAGAGAGTTTTTTTACACACTGGGGTAGAGGTAAAATCAAACTGATAAGTTATCGTACCAAGAAAAAAAAATTCTATTCTGGGTTAGTATGATCAAAGGCTGGCAGAGTATCAATTCCAGTTATTTTCCCTGCAAGGTGACACAAGCGTGTATAAAGTAGGATCCAACCTAGTTTGGTGGGTCTAAACAGCCTTTTTGGAGATGAAGTAATGTTTGATCAGAGGTGTGAAGGATGAGCAAAAGTTAGTCATATAAAAAATGAGGGGGAGAACATTCCAGGCAGAATACAAAGGTCCTGAGGTGGCAAAGAGGTGAGTTTGATCAAGAAAATGAGTCAAATATTGTTGCATTACAGGAAAGGATTGGGACTGTCACACAAGGGGAAGCCTGAGAGGCAAAGAGGTCAGATCATATTGGGTCTACATTAAGAATTTCGGATTTTATTCTAGGATTATGAGAAATCATGAGGGAGTTCTAGGAATGTCACAAATATGGGGGATTTTTGGTTTGTTTTTTAAGACCGCTTGGACTGTAACAGGGAAATGGACTGGAAAGCCATGAGCAAATGAAGGAAAAATAGCTATTGTTGTGGCCAAACACAAACTCAAAATGGTTGGGGTGCCTGGCTGGCTCAGTTTGTGGAGCCATGATTCTTGATCTCAGGCTTGTGGTTTTGGGCCCCATGCTGGATGTACAGATTACCTAAAAATAAAGTCTTTAAAAAAAAATAAGTTGAAAATGGCAGAAAAAGAGTAATCACAGTGTGAGTAGAAAAGTGTGTGGTTGTGGGAAAGATTTAGGAGGCAAATACAACAAGATCTGGCTGTCTGTTGAATATGACAGGAAGAACGAGAAGTCAAGAAGGACTCAGATTTCTGACCTGAGGCACACAAAAGGGAAATGGCAGGAGTTTAATTTTGAACATGCTATGTTTGAAGTTCTCTCAAGAAATCCGAAGGGTGGTGCCAAATAGGCATATATCCCATTGTCCCGAGTTCAGAAGAGAGGTCTGGACTGGAGTTATAGACATGTGAGATGAAGACATACAGAGAACCAAAGCCACTGGGCCAATTGAGACTGTCCAGGAAGAGAGCGCAGAAGAAGGAAAGAGGGTTTAGGACAACCACAAGGAACCACAACACTTAACCATCAGGTTGAAGAAAGGAGTTTACACAGGACCTTACGGAAGAGGGCCCAGAAATACAGAAAGGAAAGCATGAGATGACTGTGGGATCTTGCGGAAGCCTATGGAACAAGAGTGTTGGAAGTTTATTTATTCATTTTTTTAAAGATTTTATTTATTTGTCAGAAAGACAAAGAGAGAGTGTGAGGACAAGCAGGGGAGCAGCAGGCAGAGGGAGAAACAGACTCCCCACTGAGCAAGGAGCCCGATGTGGGACTCAATTCCAGGACCCCAGGGTAATGGAGTGAGCCGAAGGCAGATGCTTAACCGGCTGAGCCACCCAGACATCCTGAATTTGTATGAGATTTAAATGAATTTAAAAGTTCATGTTCCCTGGGGCACCTGGGTGGCTCCGTTGGTTAAGCGTCTGCCTTCAGCTCAGGTCATGATCCCAGGGTCCTGGGATCGAGCCCCGCATCGGGCTCCCTGCTCAGCAGGGAGTCTACTTCTCCCTCTCCCACTCCCCCTGCTTGTGTTCCCTCTCTCGCTGTGTCTATGTCAAATAAATAAATAAAATCTTTAAAAAAAAGTAAAAGTTCATGTTCCCCAATAGTTCATGAATTTACTGACATGTGAACATAACACCAGTGGCTACACAAGCAATTTAATTACCCTTTTTTTAAGGACTTATTTTTTTATTTTTATTTTTAAAGATTTTATTTATTTATTTGACAGAGAGAGAGAGACAGCGAGAGAGGGAACACAAGCAGGGGGAGAGGGAGAAGCAGGCTCCCCACAGAGCAGGGAGCCTGATGCGGGGCTCGATCCTAGGACCCTGGGATCACGACCTGAGCCGAAGGCAGACGCTTAACGACTGAGCCACCCAGGCGCCCCATAAGGACTTTTTATTTTTAAGTAATTGCTACACCCATTGTGGGGCTCAAACCCACAACCCCAAGATCAAGAGTCACACACTCCATTTACTGAGCCAGCCAGGCACTCTTAATTGCCCTGATTTTTTAAAAAACCAAACAAACCTGTAGATTCTATAATTACCTCAGGGAGGTGTCACCAAATTCTCAGAAGAAAAAATTTTATTAAATGTTAGTTCAAGGCAAAATGTATTACCTCATGCAGACAGGAGGCATATTCAATAAATTCTTAAGTAAAATGATTTAAAAGGTTAGGTAACCAAAAAATGCATGCCACACATTTTTTAAAAAGAAGGGAGGAAAATTCTTATAAATGAAAATCAAATAAATAACAGGGTGAGAAGGCAGGCTGTGAGGGGTGAAGAGGAGAGGCTCGAACTGTTACGAAGATCAAATGAAAAGCCGCCTGTGCAAATGCTTCAAACACTATAAACACTGGTGAGAACTGCTGGGACAAGCATGCTTCTTTTCCATGGTGCTATTTAAGAGCTGTATTCGTCCCAGTAAATGCCACATAAAATAAGAATTTTTCTTCAAATCTTAAGCTTAAATAAAGCAGATACTGGGAAGGATGTACATACAAAGTCTTCTTTGGCACCAAGTCGATTTTGCCTGTCTTTTTCTAGGAGTTCTTCCAGAATGGACCAGGCTGTGAGGCTCACTCCTGGCCTCAAACTTAGGGGCTTGTGAAGAATATTGTCATACATTTCAGCAACATCTCGGCAATAAAAAGGAGGCTGGCGGGGGGGAAAAGGAAAATAGTGTTAATTAAGCTATGACGAAATAGGGTTAAAAGAGTGGATTTGGCCTTGCTCTACAGGGATCAGTCTGGGTCTGGACAGTTCTAGAAATGCACAGGTCTTGTGGGCACATGTACATCTGCAGTGTGGTCTCCAATGTGAAGAGGGTTTAAAACCCAGCACCATGTAGAGCCCAACATGTGTTCACTGAATGTTCAAGAATACGCTGCAGACAGGTGTAAACTGTGTAAAACTTCTAATAGTATCTGCTTTAGAGAAAACCACCAACCTCATTAGAAGCATAAGGAAAGAACTACTGCACACAGAGATTCAACACAGATCAAATATTAAATAATTTTTTGAGACTTGGGAATAAATGAATTAAAACAGAGACTTCCAGTAGAGATGGAGACATGAAGATAGTGCTCCTTCCTAAGTACTTTGGGTAATAACAGCATTACGGGTACACTGTGCAGAATTACAATTCACAGCCTAAGCCTTGTACAGCTTCAACATGAGGATTAGCCAGTTTATTGTCGAGTTAATTTTTAAACTAAAAATAATTTTTAAAGTTAAGGCAGTTATATAGCCTGTCACTTTCTTTTTTACAGGAAAGCAAAACATTTTTACTTTTTAAAATCGAACTTTATTTTTAAAAAGTTCATGTGTCATTAGTGAAATCTATGTTTCAAATGTTCCCTTTTGAATCAACTGCATTTTATATACAATGACAGTATTTTCCACTTTCAGAGTCCTCTGAAGAAATTTAAAGGATTCAGAAATATCTGGACAGCAAATACTCAGCGTTTAAAGAAAGTAAGGTATATCAGTTATTCCAAGTCACTATAATGAGAACACTAAATCTTTTAGTAAGCAAGGGCAAAAAAGAGACAGTGTTGGTTGCCATAGGAATCTATCATTCAAAGTTAGCAACACAAGACAAATGCTCTAACATGTACCTCATGTGTTGGATTTCAATGAGAGCTCCCCAGTTTTTTGGGGGGGAAACCCCACACAAAACAAAAAGTGAATCAAAAAAACCAAGCCCCAGCTCAGGTCTCTGCTGATGATAGTATTTAGCTTAGTGTGATCAGCAGCATGGGTGTTGAGTGCACGGTCCCCAGCATAGGGCTGCTGGACACTCATGGGATCACAAAAAGACTTTAGAAACTACTCTAAATATCTCAAAAAGTATGAAGAAAAATTGGTCCTATAAGAATATGTAAACTAACCAAAGTGCCTAAATTGCTTGCTTTTAGTTGGAATGATATATATTTTTAAAGTTTATTTATTTTTTTAGTAATCTGTACACCCAACATGGGGCTCGAACTCAAGATCCCAAGATCAAGAGTCACATGCCCCTCCAACTGATCCAGCCAGACACTCCTGGTTGGAATATTAATTACCGTAGTAAAACAATTTTACACACGTTAATCAGAAGCACTGGTTGGCCTTATGTGTCTTCAATTAATAAAAACTGGGGTAAATGATTTCATAGTGAATATACTTTTTCAACAAAATCTAGTAATGTTTTTGATAAAGGGAATAGAGGGTTTCTTATTGGCGGAAAAAGTGAAGCACCAGTTATTAATCCTATAAAAATAAAATACAAGGCAAAACCCAAAAGATATGATCTTCTAATTAATACAGAAATCTTCTTTCCATCTTTTTGAAATTGGGCAGAATAATGACGGGTAAACTGTATGAAAGTGAATAATATTAATGTTATAGCTAGTGTCTATTTCTAAAAAATGCCAAGCTGGATGAGAATATTGATTAGTGTAAGTAGTGATTAGTGTAACAGTGAATAAAAATTAAAAGACCAGTAACAAAGGAAAAGTTTTTCCTTTTGTATATATCCCCAATGTGATTCTGGATTCATTTAACCAGGTTACTACTACTACTCAATCAGTGTTATCTAAGAGTCCTCGGGATTATTAAAAAAGAGAGACAACTCAAAATAATGAAAATAAATTGGAACAATAATGAGAGAGCAGAAATACATACCAATCCATACAGCATTTCATAGAGAACAGCACCAAGGCACCACCAATCTACAGTATTGTCATAGGGCTGTTTTCGGATTACTTCAGGAGCAAGGTACTATGGAAAACATTAAATATTAGATCAACTGAATAAACAACTCATGATAAAATTTAGGAATAATTAAGAAATTTAACAAATTTAAGATGTCACTATGATGCTAAAAACATATTATCTAGATTTTTAATTGGTTGGGTATGCTCATCCTACACCAGGGGTTCTCAGGCAGTAGTATTCTTCAGAATCATGTGGCACATTTTTCAAAATACACATATTCAAGCACTTCCCCCCACAAACTGTGATGCAATTAGGGCAAACAGAAGAGGACAACAAATGTAGAAATCTGTAATACTATGTAAACTAGGTATTGGGCTGGGGGGGCAGGGAGAGTCTTTCACAAGATTATTTTAGAAATTCCTCTGATCATTACTCATAATTGTTTCTCTTGAAGAAAGAATTTTTAATGCGGCAATTATAATCCATTTTCCCCTTCATTTAAAGAAAAAAGAATGTGAACTGCATTGTTATTAGAGAATTATAACAGTAACTACTATTAATCACCATAGTAATTACTGTAATTACTATATAATTCTCTAACATATTATTTAGAAAAGTGTAAGTTATTAGATGGCTATGCACATTTTATTTGTAAAACACTTAAACATAATTTCACACATATAAAATGGTGAATTTGAATTCGAGATTGCAAAATATGTATTTTCTCTTCCCATATGAAGGAAATAATTTCTTCTTAGGCTTTTTTTTTAATGTGATCCAAAAAAATGGCAAAATATATTAAAAGGGTTTAGTAATTTCTGATTACATTTAGATTTAGAGGACCAAAAAAACTTGTTTCCTCTCTTAAAACTACAGGACTTAAAGATTTTGATAACTTGGGGCGCCTGGGTGGCTCAGAAGGTTAAGTGTCTGCCTTTGGCTCAGGTCATGATCTCCAAGTCCTGGGATGGATACCCGCATTGGGCTTCCTGCTCAAAAGGGAGTCTGCTTCTCCTTCTTCTTCTGCCTTGCCCCACTGCTCCTGCTCTCTCTCTCTTTCTCTCTCGCTCTGTATCTGTCTCAAATGAATAAATAAAATTCTTAAAAGAAAAAGATTTTGATAATTATACAATCGATACACATTCAAGATAGTCCAAGATGGTGGAGGAGCAGGAGACCTTAGTTTCACCTGGCCCCAGGAATTCAGCTAGTAGCTATCAAATCATTCTGAACACCTGCAAACTCAACTGGAGATCTAAGAAAAGAATTGCCGCAACTCCACAAATAGAAAAGCAGCCACTTTCTGTAAAGGAGGAGGTACGGAGAAGTGAATCCGAGGGGATATATAGGAAGATTAACCATGGGTGGAGGGAGCCTCCCTCGGCCAGCACCGGAAAGTAACAGACCAGTGAGTACAAAATCAGAACTTTTAGAAGTCTGCTCTGGAGAGGGATGTCCCTGCTTGAAAGGTGCAGAGGTGGTGAAATGGGGTGGAATCCTAGGTGGGACTGAGGATCCCAAGGGTCACAGGGAGACCACGGTGCCTGAGTGGGGCAGAGCTCCCAGGCATTGGAATGGGGAAGCCAGCAGCAATCAGCGAGCCTAGGAATGGGCTCTCAGCTCAGAAGTGGGCTCTGAGGTCAGGGTTGCCATATACCGCAAACCCAGGCATGGTCGGGGGAGTCCAGCAAGCAGTAGATCCTCTGCGAGACTCCCTCCGCCTCCCCCGCAGAGGAGCGGCATGAGTGCGCAACCCAGCAGTTTGCAGAATTTGGAGGCTCCAAACCTAGTCACGTGCCCGAGATAGAAACAGTCACGGGCTGGGTGAGCAAGAAGTGTGGCGGAAGACCAGGGAGACAAGAGTGACTGACTGCTTTTCCCCGAAGGTGCACTGAAGAGTGGGCCCCTAGCTTTGGGCTCCAGGTAGGGAGATTGGTAGGGAGAATGGGAGGCCGCCATTTTCATTCTCATCCTCTAAAGCAGCCTGGAAAGCCTTCAGTGGGGAACAAAAGTCACTTGGAGCAATCTGGAGAGGATTACTTAGCCTGGGTCCCTGACAAGGACAGTGCAATTCTTCCCCGGCAAAGACACCTGAGAATCAGTGCAACAGGCTCCTCTCCCAGAAGATCAGCAAGAACATTCAGCTAAGACCGAGTTTACTGATCAGAGAACTGCAAAACTCCAGCGCTACAGGAAAATAGTATATAGAATACATGTTTTTCCCCCCATGATTTTTTAGTCTTCTAATTTTAATTTTTTTCACTCCTTTTTCAACCAATTTCTTATTTTATCAACTTATTTTTTTAAAATATTTTTATTTATTTATTTAACAGAGATAGAGTGCACAAGAAGGCAGAGCAGCAGGCAGAAGGAGAGGAAGAAGCAGGCTTCCCGCTGAGCAAGGAGCCCGATTTGGGGATCGATCCCAGGACCCTGGGATCATGAACTGAGCTGAAGGCAGACGCTTAACTGACTGAGCCACCCAGGCACCCCTATTTTATCAACTTTTAAAAAAGTCTTTTTTTTCATTTTTACACTTACATTCTATCCTTTTTGTATTTAATTTTATGTGTGTGTGTTTGTGTGTGTGTGTTTTTCTTTCTTTACAATTTTGGGATGCAGTTTCTTCTAACAAACAGACCAAAATACACACAGGATCCAGTGTATCTGTTCTGTTCACCTGGTTATTTTCTCTCTTTTTTTAAGATTTTATTCATTTATTTGAGAGAGAGAATGAGGGTGAGAGAAAGAGCACATGGCGGGGAGGGTCAGAGGGAGAAGCAGACTCCCTGCTGGGCAGGGGAGCCCAATGCAGGACTCGATCCCAGGACTCCAGGATCATGACCTGAGTCGAAGGCAGTCGCTCAACCAACTGAGCCACCCAGGCGCCCTATTTTCTCTTTTTTTATTTTTATTTTTATTTTATTTTTTTGGTTTCAGGTCTCTTCTGATTTATTTAGTGTATATTTCTGTGGGGGTCATTGTTGCCATTTTAGTATTTTGTTCTCTTGTTCATCTATTCTTCTCTGGACAGAATGATAAGATGGAAAACTCACCTCAACAAAGAACAAGAGGCAGTACTGACTGCCAGGGACCTAATCAGTATGGACATTAAGATGTCAGAACTAGAATTCAGCATAATGATTATATAGATACTAGCTGGGCTTGAAAAAAGCATAGAAGACACTAGAGAATCCCTTTCTGGAGAAATAAAAGGACTAAAATCTAATCAAGTCAAAATAAAAAAGGCTATTAATGAGATGCAATAAAAAATGGAGGCCCTAACTGCTAGGATAAATGAGGCAGAAGAGAGAATTAGTGATATAGAAAAACGAAATTATGGAGAATAAAGATGCTGAGAAAAAGAGAGATAAACAACTACTGGATCACAAGGAGAGAATCTGAGATAAGTGATACCATAAAGTGAAACAGTATTAGAATAATTGGGATCCCAGAAGAAAAAAGAAAGAGAGGGAGAGGGGCAGAAGGTATACTGGAGCAAATTACAGTGGAGAACTTCCCTAACCTGGGAAAGGAAGCAGGTATTCAAGACCAGAAGGCACAAACAAGTCCCCTCAAAATCAGTAAAAACAGGTGAACACCTCGACATATAATAGTGAAACTTGGAAATCTCAGAGACAAAGAAAAAATCCTGAAAGCATCTCGGGACAAGAGCTCTGTAACCTACAAGGGTAGAAACATTAGATTGGCAGCAGACCTATCCACAGAGACCTAGCAGGCCAGAAAGAACTGGCATGATATATTCAGGGTAATAACCGAGAAAAATATGCAACCAAGAATACTTTATCCAGCAAGGATGTCATTCAAAAAAGAAGGAGAGAGAGAGAGCTTCCAGGACAAACAGAAATAAAAGAAATTTGTGATCACCAAACCAGCCCTACAAAAAATATTAAAAGTGATGCTCTAAGCGAAGAGAGAGCCCAAAAGTAACATAGACCAGAAAGGAACAGAGACAATATACAGAAACAGTCACTTTACAGGTAATACAATGGCACTAAATTCTACCTTTCAACAGTTACTCTGTATGTAAATGGGCTAAATGCCCTAATAGAAAAACACAGGGTATCAGATTGGATAAAAAGCAAGACCCATTGATATTCTGTCTGCAAGAGACTCATTTTAGACCCAAAGACACCTCCAGATCAAAAGTGAGGGGCTGGAAAACCATTTATTATGCTAATGGACATCAAAAGTAGCTAAGGTAACAATCCTTATATCAGACAAATTACATTTTAAACCAAAGACTGTAATAAGAGGAAGGATACAATATCATAATTAAAGTGTCTATCCAACAAGAAGATCAAACAATTGTAAATATTTATGTCCCTAACATGGGAGCAACCTATTATATAAACCAATTAATAACAAAATTAAGGAAACACAGTGATAACAGTAGGGAACTTTAACACCCCACTCACTGCAATGGACAGATCATCTAAACAAAAGATCAACAAGGAAACAAGGGCTCTGAATGACACACTGGACCAGATGGACTTCACAGATGTATTCAGAGCATACCAACCTACCAACCTAAAGTAACAGAATACACATTCTTCTTGAGTGCACATGGAACATTCTCCAGAATAGATCACATACTGGGTCGAAAATCAGGTCTCAACTAGTACCAAAAGATTGGGATCATTCTCTGCATGTTTTCAGACCATAATGCTTTGAAACTGGAACTCAATCATAAGAGGAAATTTGGAAAGAACTCAAATACTCAAAGAGCATCCTACTAAAGAATGAATGGGTCAACCAGGAAATTAAAGAAGAATTTAAAAAATTCATGGAAACAAATGAAAATGAAAACACAACTGTTCAAATCTTTGGAATGCAGCAAAGGCAGTCCTAAGAGGGAAGTATATAGCAATACAAGCCTTTCTCAAGAAACAAGGTCTCAAATACACAACCTAACCTTACACCTAAAGGAGTTGGAGAATGAACAGCAAATAAAGCCAAAACCCAGCAGGAGAAGAGAAATAATAAAGATCAGAGCAGAAATCAATGAAATAGACACCAAAAGAACAGTAGAACAGATCAACAAAACTAGGAGCTGATTCTTTGAAAGAATTAACAAGATTGATAAACCCCTGGCCAGACTTATCAAAAAGAAAAGAGAAAAGACCCAAATAAATAAATCATGAATGAAACGGGAGAGATCACAACCACCACCAAAGAAATACAAACAAGTATGAGAACATATTATGAGCAACTATATGCCAACAAATTAGACAATCTGGAAGAAATGGATGCATTCCTAGAGATGTATAAGCTACCAAAACTGAAACAGGAAGAAATAGAAAACCTGAACAGACCCATAACCAGCAAGGAAACTGAAGCAGTAATCAAAAATCTCACAACAGGGCGCCTGGGTGGCTCAGTCGTTAGGCGTCTGCCTTCGGCTCAGGTCATGATCCCAGAGTCCTGGGATCGAGTCCCGCATCGGGCTCCCTGCTCAGCGGGGAGCCTGCTTCTCCCTCTGCCTGTCTCTCTCTCTGTCTCTTATGAATAAATAAATAAAATCTTAAAAAAAAAAAATCTCCCAACAAACAAGACTCCAGGGCCAGATGGCTTCCCAGGGGAATTCTATCAAACATTCAAATAAAAATTAATACCTATTCTTCTGAAGCTGTTTCAAAAAACAGAAATGGAAGGAAAACTTCCAAACTCATTTTATGAGGCCAGCATTACCTTGATCCTAAAACCGAAGACCTCACCAAAAAAGGAGAATTACAGACCAATATCCCTGATTAACATGCATGCCAAAATTCTCACCAAAATCCTAGCCAATAGGATCCAACAGTACATTAAAAGGATTATTCACCACGTCCAAGTGGGATTTATTACTGGGCTGCAAGGGTGGTTCAACCTCTGCAAATCAATGTGATACACTACACATTAATAAAAGGACAAGAACCATATGATCCTCTCAACAGATGCAGGAAAAACATTTCACAAAGTATAGCAACATTTCTTGATTAAAACTCTTCACAGTGTAGGGATAGAGGATACATACCTCAATATCATAAATGCCATCTATGAAAAACCCACAGCAAATATCATTCTCAATGGGGAAAAACTGAGAGCTTTCCCCCTAAGGTCAGGAACACGGCAGGGATGTCCACTATCACCACTGCTATTCAACATAGTAGTAGAAGTCCTAGCCACAGCAATCAGACAACAAAAAGAAATAAAAGGCATCCAAATCGGCAAAGAAGAAGTCAAACTCTCACTCTTTGCAGATGATATGATACTCTATGTGGAAAACCCAAAAGAGTCCACCCCAAAACTGCTAGAACTCATACAGGAATTCAGTAAAGTGGCAGGATATAAAAGCAATGGATATAAATCAGTTGCTCTTCTACATACTAACAATGAGACAGAAGAAAGAGAAATTAAGGAGTCGATCCCATATACAATTGCACCCAAAACCATAAGATACCTAGGAATAAACCTAACCAAAGAGGCAAAGGATCTATACTCAGAAAACTATAGAATACTCATGAAAGAAACTGAGGAAGATTGGAAGAACAAATATTGTGAAAATGTCTATGCTACCTGGAGCAATCTACACATTTAATGCAATCCTTATCAAAATACCATCCACTTTTTTCAAAGAAATGGAACAAATAATCGTAAAATATGTATGGAACCAGAAAAGACCCCGAATAGCCAGAGGAATGTTGAAAAAGAAAAGCAAAGCCAGTGGCATCACAATTCAGGACTTCAAGCTCTATTACAAAGCTGCCATCATCAAAACAGTATGGTACTGGCACAAAAACATACACATACATCAATGGAACAGAACAGAGAGCCCAGAAATGGACCCTCAACTCTATGGTCAACTAATCTTTGACAAAGCAGGAAAGAATGTCCAATGGAAAAAGTCTCTTCAACAAATGGTGTTGGGAAAATTGGACAGGCCCATGCAGAACAATGAAACTGGACCATTTCCTTACACCATACACAAAAAGAGACTCAAAATGGATGAAAGATCTAATGTGAGACAGGAATCAATCAAGATCCTAGAGGAGAACACAGGCAGCAACCTCTGTGACCTCGGCTGCAGCAACATCTTGCTAGACACGTCTCCACAGGCAAGGGAAACAAAAGTAAAAATGAACTATTGGGACTTCATCAAGATAAAAAGCTTTTGCACAGCAAAGTAAACGGTCGACAAAACCAAAAGACAACCAACAGAATGGGAGAAGATATTTGCAAATGACACATCAGATAAAGGGCTAGTATCCAAAATCTATAAAGCATTTATCAAATTCAACGCCCAAAGAACAAATAATCCAATCAAGAAATGGGCAGAAGACATAAACAGACATTTCTCCAAAGAAGACATAAAATGGCCAACAGACACATGAAAGAAATGTTCCACATCACTTGGCATCAGGGAAATCCAAATCAAAACCTCAGTGAGATACCACCTCACACCAGTGACAGGAATGCAAGGTGGTGCAGTCACTGTGGAAAACAGTATGGAGGTTCCTCAAAATGTTGAAAATAAAGCTACCCTATGACCCAGCAATTGCACTACTGGGTATTTACCCCAAAGATACAAATGTAGCGATCCGAAGGGGCGCCTGCACCCCAATGTTTATAGCAACAATGCCCACAATAGCCAAACTATGGAAAGAGTCCAGATGTCCATCGACAGATGCATGGATAAAGAAAATGTGGTGTATATATATTCAATGGAATACTACTCATTTATCAAAAAAATGAAATCTTGCCATTTGCAACAACGTGGATAGAACTAGAGGGTAACATGGTAAGCGAAATTAGTCACTCAGGGAAAGACAGTTATATGATCTCACTCATATGTGGAATTTAAGAAACAAAACAGAAGATCAGAGGGGAAAGGAGGAAAAAATAAAACAAGAAGAAATCAGAGAGGGAGATAAACCATAAGAGACTCTTAGTCATAGGAAACAAACTGAGGGTTGCTGGAGGGAAGGGGGTGGGGGAATGGGGTAACTGGGTGATGGACATTACAGAGGGCACATGATGTAATGAGCACTGGGTATAAGACTGATGAATCACTGAACTCTACCTCTGAAATTAATAATACATTATAGGTTAATTGAATTTAAATAAAAAATAAAAATTAAAAACATTTAAAGGAGATAGAATTTACATAAAAATGTATCCATATTCAAAAAACTCAATATACATTCACAAAAAAATGTTTCTTCATACACAAACCAAACTAGAATGGTTACAAATATATCTAAGAGCTAGGGGTAGATTAGAAAAAGGAAGGAAAAAAAAAACATTTCAAAGTATTTTGCTTTTAATTATTTTTAACTTTTCTAATGTTGATTAAAAGTTTCATATGAGCCATTTTATCACACATTTCATCATGTTATTTGCGATTACTCTACAAAAAAGATGAAATACGGGGCGCCTGGGTGGCTCAGTCGTTAAGTGTCTGCCTTCGCTCAGGTCATGATACCAGGATCCTGGGATCGAGCCCCACATCGGGCTCCCTGCTCTGCGGGAAGCCTGCTTCTCCCTCTCCCACTCCCCCTGCTTGTGTTCCCTCTGTCTGTCTCTCTCTCTGTCAAATAAGTAAATAAAATCTTTAAAAAAAAAAAAAAAGGATGAGATACTACCTGGCTTCTAAGATCACTATAAATATATTAAAATTAGGATAGTTTAGAGTTGAGTCGTTGCTTTGGCCAGACCAGGACGTGTGGCCCGCTGCGCCCGCTCTTTGCACCCCGTCGCTCCTGCCCACCGGCAGGATGGCCCACAAGCAGATCTACTACTCGGACAAGTACTTCGATGAGCACTACGAGTACCGGCATGTCATGTTACCCAGAGAACTTTCCAAACAAGTCCCGAAAACCCATCTGATGTCTGAAGAGGAGTGGAGGAGACTTGGTGTCCAACAGAGTCTAGGCTGGGTTCATTACATGATTCATGAGCCAGAACCACATATTCTTCTCTTTAGATGACCTCTTCCAAAAGAGCAACAAAAATGAAGTCTATCTGGGGATCGCCAATTAAATCTTTTTCAAATTTAATGTATATGTGTATATAAGGTAGTATTCAGTGAATACTTGAAAAATGTACAAATTGTTGATCCATACCTGTGCATGAGCTGTATTCTTCATAGCAACAGAGCTCAGTAAAT